TCCGGTCCTGTTTTCCGTCCCTGCCGCCAGCCCCGGCCCAGGCTGTTCTAGCCCAGCTCCCTTTCAGAGCCCGCCCGCGGCGGCCTCCGGGTGCCACCCGCCACCTCACTGGCAGAGCAGCTGGCGCGGGGCCCCTGCGACTCCCGCCCTTGGCATCCCGCGAGCTGTAGCCGTGGCTTAATTTGTCTCTCCTGTTGCTCCCTGGGACATCAGTAGAAGAAAGATTCCGACTAGGCCCTGCCTTAAGCTAACAGGAAAAGAAGTGAGCGTCTCCCGACTTTGCAGTTTGTAACGGGAGAGCCCTGCCTCCGGCTCCGGCTCTGGAGGAGCGGCTGGAAACACAGGCTCCCCTCAGAGACCGCCCGCTGCCTCTGCCCTCCTCCCCTCACAGAGCCCCGACTTTGTGCCCTGAAACGTGGGAGGGCGCAGGAGTGGCCTGGAGGGGGCGGAAGCCTCGGGAGGCTCTAAAGCTCAGCCCTTGCTTCTCACACGACTCGGCTCCCCCAGTCTCCTGGGGTTCAGTCTCCTGGGTGACCGGCGTGGCCACTGCTGTGGGGAGGAAGCTGCCTTCCTGGCCGTGACCGTGGGCCTCGTGGGCCTGGGTGTCTGCTGTGCGTCTGAGCCAGGAGGCTGGTCGCCCGGTCAGCCTCTGCCCTCCCTCTTGCTTTGTGTAGAAGGAATCTGAGGCCCAGAGAAGGAAAGGGACTTCCCTAAGGCCGCGTGGCCAGTCCCAGCAGGCTTGGGCGGTGCTAGAAGCAAACGCCACCCAGGGGCACCGCAGCCCAGTAAGTCACCTTGGGGGGCTAGCAAAGCTCCCCGGGCTGCCGTGGCCGTGCGAGCTCAGCTGCAGGCTCTCCTGGCCGCGGCTTGAGCCAGCGGACCCGCCGCCCCCATCAGCACACGCTCCCACTGACGTCATTTCTGGAGAGCGGGGTCCCGGGGGTCACTCCGGGAAGGTGTCCCCAGAGCCCCCTCTCAGCGGCCTGTGGCCAGGTCCCCACGGAGTTTCCCCAGGACACAGGCTCAGTTATGTCAGACTCAGCCTGTTCTCCGCCTGGACCCCCGACAAACCAGAGCCGGTTTGTTAGGGAGAAGGACAGGAGCGAAGGCCTCCTGCATGGGCACCCGCGGCGGGCAGGGCTGCCCCGAAGGGACGGGTCTGCAGAGAGGCCGGCTCGGTCCCGGCGGGCGGCCTGAGGAGGCTGCTGCCCTGCAGAGGAGAGAGGTGGAGAGTAACCTGCATAGCCACAGGTGGGCAGAGGGCCGCTGCCGTGCTGGCCAGAGGCTGCCCTGACGCAGACTCCTCTCGGGGGCCTGCTCCGTGGGAGCCCGGTTTTGTTGGCTTTGAACAGTCTGCGAGGACCTGGGCTCCCCTCCGGCCCCCCCCGCCCCATCCTTTGCTCTCCCCTTCGGGTCTGAGCTGTGGACACTGCCCCTGGCAGCCTGTTCTCTGCCTGGACCTCCCCCCCACGTCCTGGACATTGGCCCACTTACAGCTGTGCCAAGGACCCTGACTTTACGGCTGTGTTCACTGCTCCGCAGGCCCCCGTGCCGCCCGCCGGCCTTCCTGCACCACCGCCACCGCCGTGCCTGTGTCTCAGCCCCAGGGTCTGTGTTGGGGCTCGGAGACACCCCGCTGCTTAACCCCATCGCAGACTGTGAGCGGGGTGCCTGGCACCCCAGCGCAGCAGGCCTGGACGCTCCGGCCCTCCGCGGGCCCGCTCCCGCCTGCCTCCGGTCCTCCCTTCCTGTGCAGCCACGGGCGCAGGTGGGGCGGGCCCCACTCTGCTCCTCTGGAAGCAAGTATGACCTCGGGTGGGGGTCACCACCGCTAGTGAGCCAGGGGAGAACTGGGGGACAGGAATGTGATGCAGAGGACCAGGGACAAGGCTGGTCCCTGTCACCTCTTGGCCACGCGGCCACCTCAGGGCTAGGAGGAGGTCCTGGACTGAGCTGGCCACGCGGCGAGCTTCCCGACAGCCCAGGCTGCCCAGGGCACTCCCGGCCTCAGCCCTGCAGGGCTTCCAGGCTGAGCTCCACACCGGGACCCGCACCCGGGGCAGGCTCGGACGTGACTGAAAAGGGTCTTGATGAGGAGTCTCCCTGGCCCCTCGGTGGGGGTAGCCCCGTTCAGGTCCTGCATACCCGGGAGAAGGCCAAGGGAACTCGGTGGTGGCGCAGAGAGACAGCAGGGGCTGCCCCTGCCGTGGGCCAAACGCCCGCCTCCGACTGTGGGCGCAGGCCTGTTTGGGGTCCCATGGGAGCCGTTCATCTCAGCAGCTGAAGGAAGCTGACGCAGGAGCCGCGAGGAGCCCCGGCCTGTCCGCATGGTTTCTGGGGTCGTGCTCCTGGAATCTGCCGGGAGCCTCTCTCGGAAGTCTCCGCGGCTCCGAGCGGGCAGGACGCTCTCCTCCGTGTGCGGCCTGGCCGGCCCCCTTCCCTGTCCAGCCGCTGGGTCCCCTCAGAACACTGGGGTCTCTCTGACCCTCCGGGAAGCACTAGGTCAGCCCAGCTGCAGCGGGGTTCTGGGCACTGGGCCTGACTGAGCTGGGCAAGGGGCTCACAGAAGGCCAGAGGTGGGGCTCCCCCACAGGGGAGGCTGAGGTGGATGCTGGCTTCAAAGCGGTGGCAGGCACCAGGTAGCGAAACCTTCCCAGGCACCTAGGCCTGGTGCCTGAGTCCTGCTCCCCACTGGGGCACCGCTGGCCGGGCCAGCAAGGTCTGGTCAGGCCCTGGGCCCTCCGTCTCCGCCAGCCTCGTACTTTTGCCCTTCACGTCCTGCCTGAGGTGGACCAGGCAGTCCTGAGATCGGGGACCCACGGAAGCGTGCAGAGCAGGATGTGACCGTCCTCGGGCTCACTGGAGCTGTCTCCAGGTGGGGGCTGAAGTGGGGGGCAGGGAGGAGCGGAGCTGAGCAGTCCACACTGCTGAGAGCCTGGCTGGGACGCGGGGACATGCTCTGGGCCTGAGGTCACAGAGCTGCTGGACCGTGGCCAGCTGGCCGCACACACTTTCTATTCCTGGGTCTCGGGCTCCAGCGCCAAATACGGAGCTGCCAGCCCGGCTCCGTCAGCCACGGCAGGCGCGTTGGTGGACGCTGCAGCTGGCACCACGAGACCCCACCCTCACCAGGGCTGCACCGGTCAGCTCATGCCAGGCCACAGCCAGGGCCTCGGTCCACCCAGCTGCTTGTCCACTCCTGGGTGCGCTTCACCTGCTCTAAAAATGCCCAGAGCTGGGCTCCTGCTGGCCTAGGGGCTGTCTCGGTGCCGTCACCGCCGCTGCCTGAGTTCGCCCCCAGCCAGGGCTGATCCCCAGGGTGCAGCAGACCCCCCCTGTCTCCCGCTGCCCCCTCAGCAGGGCATCTCCGTGGAGCCGCCTGTTCTGCCTGACACTCACCCCCACACCTCTGGCCTGCGCCCAGTGCTTCTGCACACACACACAATGCTCAGGACCAAAATACCATGTCACCCCACAGCGGAAAGCTGGGGTGGTGGGACTTGGAGTTGTAGCACTGCTGGGCCCCTCCCAACCCCCACTCACCCGACCTCGGGCCCCGATTTCCTCGCTCACTCAGTGGCTTGCTCGTTCACTGGCTCACGCATTCATCTGTCCGTTCAGGCCTTACGCTGCTGCACTCACTGACATCATCCTCACGCGTCCCCCACCCAGGCGCCTGCATACAGGTGCTCTCCGCGTGCTGAGCCACGGGCCACGCGACGTGGCCGCGCACGGTTCTGGACGCCTGTCCTTGGGTTGTGGAAACCCGGAACAGGTGCACAGCCAGCACAGTGTGCAACTTCATGCCTGCAGGAGTGGGCCTCGCCCTGGGGGGGGGGGCTGTGATGGTGGGGGTCGGCGCTCTGGGCGGCTGCAGCGGCCCTGGCAGAGGGATGAGTTTTCAGGGGCCACCCAGCCCCCTCTGGAGGCCGCCTACCCCCAGCCCTGCACTAGGCACGGCCTGCCTTCCTAAGCACCTGCAGCGGCACCTCTCCCCGCCTGGCCCCTGCGCTCCCCCTGCCGCTGGCAGGTCTGTCCGGCCAGTTTCCAAGCCGTCTTCCCTGCCAACGGCTTCTGGGCCAGCCGAGCCCTCCCTCGGGAGCGCGTCCCCGAGGGCCGAGTGAGGGCTGAGTGGGGCAGGGGAGGAGGCCCCAGTCCCCGCCAGCCAAACGTGTCTCCCCGCCTCTTGCAGATGGATGTGCAGGCGCCGAGAGCTTGGGGAGCAGCAGCCGCTGTGCCCGCAGGGAAGGCTGGCGGCTGGGCTGGGGGGTTCCTGGAGCCTGCCAGCCCCCCTCCGCCATGGGCTCCCCGGTGGTTGCTGCCCTGGGGCCTGGGGCGGCCAGGCTCTCGCTGGAGACCCGGCATGGGGGGTCTCCAGGCCCCGCCCCTGGCGCCCTGGCTTCGGGGCTCTCAGGCGGCAGTGATGGCCGCTGTCGGCTGGGGTTACTGAGCGGCCGGCGGGTGTGAATCGCGGAGGCTCGGACCTGGCCCCTCCGCGGGTGTTAACAGTGGGCACAGGACAGTCGCTGTCGGCGCCGCGGCGGTCACGGTGGGCGTCCCAGGCCGCGGGGGCCGCAGCCTGCCCGAACGTGGTGCTTGTCTCTTGCAGACTAGCCAGTTCCTGGGGAGAGACCATGTCCACGACCCCCGACTGTCCGCCCCGGCTGCTGCGGGGCCCCCCGAGGGAGCAGGCTTGCACCCTGCTCATCATCAGCTCCAAGTTCCTATTTTTCATCTCCATCATGATCTACTGGCACGTTGCGGGCGTGCCCAGGGACCGAGGGCAGCTCTCCAGGCTGCCCGCGGACGTGCCGTGCCCCCGCCTGGCGCCCCCCACCCCGGCCCCCGGCGGCCCCGCGCCCGGCAACATCTTCTTCCTGGAGACTTCGGAGCGGACCGACCCCAACTTCCTGTTCACGTGCTCGGTGGAGTCGGCCGCCCGCGCGCACCCCGAGTCGCGCGTGGTGGTGCTGATGAAGGGGCTGCGCGGCGGCAACGCCTCCCTGCCGCGCCACCTGGGCCTCTCGCTGCTCCGCTGCTTCCCCAACGTGCGGCTGCGCCCGCTGGACCTGGCCGCGCTGTTCCGGGACACGCCCCTGGCGGGCTGGTACGCGGCGGCGCGCGCGCGCTGGGAGCCCTACCTGCTGCCGGTGCTCTCCGACGCCTCCCGCATCGCGCTGCTCTGGAAGTTCGGCGGCGTCTACCTGGACACCGACTTCATCGTCCTCAGGAGCCTGCGGAACCTGACCAACGTGCTGGGCGCGCAGTCCCGCTACGTCCTCAACGGCGCCTTCCTGGCCTTCGAGCGCCACCACGAGTTCATGGCGCTGTGCATGCGCGACTTCGTGGCGCACTACAACGGCTGGGTCTGGGGCCACCAGGGCCCGCAGCTGCTCACGCGCGCCTTCAAGAAGTGGTGCGCCATCCGCAGCCTGGACCACAGCCGCGCCTGCCGCGGCGTGTCCACGCTGCCCCGCGAGGCCTTCTACCCCATCCCCTGGCAGGACTGGAGGAAGTACTTCCAGGACATCAGCCCCGAGGAGCTGCCGCGCCTGCTGCACGCCACCTACGCGGTCCACGTGTGGAACAAGAAGAGCCAGGGCACGCGGCTGGAGGCCACCTCCCGCGCCCTGCTGGCCCAGCTCCACCACCGCTACTGCCCCACCACCCACGCGGCCATGAGGATGTACCTGTGACCCGCGCCCTGGGCCGCCGCCTCGCCTGTGGGGCAAGAGCCCGCCTGCTCACCGTCCGGCCGACCGCCCCGGCCGACCGCCCCCTCCGGAGGCCGGGGGGCCGCTTGACCCCCCCAGGCCAGGTGGGATCGGTCGTGCCTGTGACCCCAGAAGGCCCAGGGAACCCCCTGCAGATAGGAGCTGTCCCCGGGGGCCCCCCATGAGCCTCAGGCCTCCCCGGCCTGCTCAGACCCCTCACGTCGCCCCAACACCCCCTGACCCCACGACAGGCGCTGGTGGATAGGACGGCCTGGGGCTGCCAGGAGGGGAAGCGTGGGCGAGGTCCGGGACTTCCGGTCTCGGAACCTTTAGGATATTATTCACCTCAAACATGACCTCAGGAAGTTGAGAGAATTTCGGGGGGCAGGCAGGGCAGTCTGTCCAGCAGTATCAGCCCCCACCCCCACCCCAGGCCCTCCAGGCTACACACCTCCGAGGAGACTTGAGCAAGCCACAGCCTCTCTGAGCCGAGTGTCTTCACCTGCAGCGGGGGCGGGGGCCGGGGTCATTTCTGGCCATAAAATCCTCAGAAGTGGAGCCTGAGGGACCTTGGTGGCTAGAGGGGACCCCTGTGAGGGCTGCCTGGAACTGGGGTTTCTGAGCCAGCTGCCTGGGCTGGGGAGCACCTGTATCAGTGGCTTAGAAGGAACTTTCTGGATGCAAACTGCAGGACCATTACAGGGTGGCCGGGCGAGCCAGGAGACCACGGCCCCAAAGTCTGGAGGCAGTGGAGCCCTGATCCCCGAGGCAGGCGCGTGAGTGGGACGCGCCCACGGTGCCTCCCTGGGACCGGCGCCAGCTGCTCTGCCTGGACCGCCTCGCCCCGGAGCAGACAGCCCCCCCTCCGGCGGGCGCGGCCCCCTTCCAGGCCCTGCCCCCGGGGACCCCCGCAGGCGAGTCTCTCCTGGGCAAGGCCAAGGCCGTAGAACTGTTACTGGGCAGGGACAGGGGCGGCCCCGAAGCCCCAACCCTGCCTGCTCTGAGTGGGCTCTGCCACCCGCCGCATCGAGACAGACACATAAAACTGTAATGAAAAGGGACTTTAATGCGGTGAGTCGACAACACGGAAGACCGAGAATACAGCGTCTGAGTCGACACCTGCAGTGACCCGGCCCCTCCTGGGCAAAAGTCCAGCCAAAGGGACTGGCCCAGAGCGAGGCCTGAAAGCCCCTTCTGGCCGGGACCCACAGGGAAGGGTCAGACACGGCCTAGGTGGGAGGAAAAGAATCCACGAGAGTCAGTGCAGACGCTGCCACAGCCCTCCCGCGGGCCTCGCCCACGTCGCCCTCCGCCAGCCCGGGGGCGGGAAGCCAGCGCGGCCTCCTCCAGCAGGTGCCCTGCTCCGTGTGGCGTCCCGCGGCCCCGGCTCCAGCCTGCCGCCTTCTTCCTCAGGCTCCTTTTCTTTCTCTGCTCAGCTCCACCCCCTTCTGGGAGGGGCAGGGAACCTGGGACTTCCCCTTTTCCTAGGGACCCCCCTGCTACAGAACAACCAGCTTCACAGGTGGGGGTTCCACATTCACGAGCCCCCCGCCCCCCGCCCTCGCCTGCACAAGAATCTGCTTTCCCAAGGAGACTGGTGGCCTGAGAAGGGAAGGCCCCGACAGAGAGCAGGGGCGCGTGGGGGGCAGGGCCGGGCCAGGCCCCAGGTCTGTGTGACCCACGCCTGGGCTCGTCTGTGCGAGGGGGATACTGCCGAGAGGCCCCCTCCCACCCTCTGGCACAGCCCACGCCAGGCCCCTCTCATCGTGGAAGCCGAGGCCTGACTCTCCGGGGGGCTCCAGAAGGAGCCAGCCACAACCACCCACAGCTCCTCGCCCAGCCTCCAGGCCCGCGGGGGTAGGGGGGGCTCAGCCCCAGGGCAGGCCTCAGGCCAAGGCAACTGGACCCCACAAGCCCTCATAGGCTGCGGCGGAATCAGCACCCCCGGGGGTGGCTGACAGCCCCATGTGTCCCTCCCCCCTCAGCTCCAGGGTGGAGAGTCCCCAAGTTCCCCAGGACTGGGCAGAGGAGAAAGGAGGCTGCTGGGCACTTCCTGCAGTGTGCGCACCAGAAACTGCTAGTAGATGTCCAGGCAGGGCCCCTGGGGGGGCCAGAGCTGGCCCTCCACAGTGCCCGGCGGGGGCCCGTCCTGTCCCTGGGAGGGCGGTGAGGCCAGCGAGCTGGTGGCCACACACTGGCCTCCGCAGCCTCAGGGCCCAATCAGGAGCAGAGAACCCTGATCCCCACTCACACAAATTGAATACAGGAAGTTGGTCAAACTAATTGAATGAGCCATAAAGGCAGCCCTGAGGTGAGCTCCCAGGAAGTGGCCGCCACCTGGAGCTGGGGGGCCGGGAAAGGTGGAGGAGCCAAGCCCGGAGACACCCAGGCTGGAGGTCCACCCAGGGACGGGCGGAGCTGCTGTCACATCGGAAGCCGGAGGGGGCGGCCAGCGCCTGAGTCTGCAGAGGGGTGCAGCTGAGTCTTGGAACGTGGGGAACGCCGAGCTAAAAGCCGCCGCCGACCAGGAGCCCCGAAGCACCCAGACGCCTGAGAAAGCGCCTGTGGAGGAAGCGTCTCCTCCACAGAGGGTGCTGGGAAGCTGGGAGCCACGTGTACAGAAAGAAGGGGCCCACCTCACACCACCTGCAAAGTCAACCCAAAGTAAGAGTTCGAGCAACACCACTCTTAGAAGAAGACACAGACGTCGCCTTATGGTTTGGGATGAGGCAGTGGTTTCTGAAGTACGAGCCCGAAAAGCCCAGCGACAGAAGGAAAGAGCCGCTAAGACGGGCTTTGTGACTATGAAAATGGTGTTTCTGGGCCTCCCTGGGGGTGCAGCACCATGAAGCTATCGCAGCCGCTGCAGCACAAGTTGGATCCCGGGCCAGGGAGTGACCCGCGTGGGCAGCAGACCTCCCCTGTCCCGCCCGCTGCGCCCCTCAGCAGTGTGTTTCTGCTCCCCACTCTGTCTGGTGAATCCGCTCACCGCCTGCACCTCTGGCCTGTACTTGTATGCATAAATAAATCTTTTTTAACAATTGAAAGTTGTGTTTCAAAAGATACCATGACAAAAATGAAAAAATGACTCCACAGAAATGGAGAAAATATTTGCAAATCATCTATCTGAAAAGAGACTTGTATCTGGACTCTGAAAAATTCTCACAACTCCCAAAATAGAGACCCAAATTTAAAAATGGGCAGTGGGCCTGAAAGGCAGTCTCTAAAGAACATGTATGAATAGCCAAAAAGCACATGAAAAATATGTCCACCAGTCTCTAGGGACAGGGGACCGGGCACAGCGAAAGGCCACTTCACACCCATCGATGAGTATCGTCGCAAAGGCAACAACTTGTGTGTTGGAAGAATGTGAGGAGCTGGAACCCTGGTGCATTCATTGTTGGAGAAATAGAAAGGTGCGGCCAGTGTAGAAAGCAGCTTAGCGGCTCCTCAAAATGTCAGGCACAGCATTGGTGAAAGTATAACTGTGTGACTCAGGAATTCCCTTCCTAGGTACACACCCAAGCAGACTGGAAATATATATCCAGACAAAATCATGCACATAAAAGCTACAACAGTATTTATTATTCAAACTAGTCAAATAGTGGAGACAGCCTGAAGACTGGGCTGAGGAATCTATGTGGTGGAATACTATTCAGCAATAAAAAAGGATGAAGCACTGATACATGCTACAACATGGGTGAGCCCTGCGAGCATGCCAAGTGGGAGAAGCCAGACAAAGAAGGTAACATGTCACATAATTTGTTGATGTGAAGCGTCCAGAACAAGCAAATTTTATAGGTAGAAAGTAGCTCAGAGGTTGCCAGGGCTTGGGGGAGTGACAGCTGGTAGGTATGGAGTTTCTTTTTGGAATGCTAAAAATCTTCTATTTCGAGGGAAGGTGGTTGCACAACTCTGTGAATATACTAAATAACTGCTGGGTAGGCCGTAGCAACAGCCTCCACCCTTCCTGCATTGTGGAAGGACTCACCTCCCCGGCCTCCTGGGCTTTGCGGGAACCCCCTTGCCACCTTCTGGCCCAGTGCCTGTGATTGGGCACGGCTGGTGCGTCCTTGGCATTGGAGGCTGCTGCCTTCTCTAAGTTCGCAGTGGCCGAGCCAGTGTGCACGGAAAGCATGACTCATGGAGGAGGACACGAGGAAGGCGGGATCTCGCAGAGTGCAACGTGACCTTGAAGCATCCAGATTTCCCCGGCTGGACTTCCATGGAAGATTCTCACGGACCTGTGTTCTGGAACTAGAAAGCGGGAATACTGGCACAAAGGGATCGTTTCTCTTGGTAAACAAACACTGCAGGCAGGGAGAAAAAAAACACTGGGCAAATGTTATGGAATCCCAATAATTGCATTAGTTTTAAACACATAGGTGCATTCATATACGCTTTCTACATTTTACCTATTTATGACGCTCGTTCACTGTGACTCGCGCGGTGGCCAGGAGAGCAACATGGCGGTGGCCCCAGCACACTGGCCCACTGGGCGCCCCCGGGGAAGGTCCCTCCCAGCTACAGGCTGATTGCAGGCGCTCTGGGATTCAGCTGTTGGCTTCCTTCTTCTCTGCTTCACACGAAGCCCATCGTCTCCCGAGGAGACATGCCCTGAGTCTTCAGTACCCCACCCCCGCCCCCCGGCCGAGCTGGCTCTGGGGGGCGCACTTTACTTCTCTCCAAGCCTCCAGTGGCACCCACACGCCAGGGCCTCCTTGAGGCTCCCACTGCAGGGGACCGCACCCCCCCACCTCCCCAGAGGGGCGTCGAGGCTGTGGCCGCCCGCGCGCCCCCTAGTGGCTGCGGGTGGCAGTGCCGCGTGAGCGCGCCGGCGGGAGGGCTGAGTGGCCGGCCTGGGCTGGGGTCTGCAGGATGTGCCCCCCAGAGATCTTACTCTAGTTGAAAGTGGTGATGAGCCCGAACCACGTGGGCTTCACACCGCTGAAAGGCAAACGGTGCTGAGAATCCATCTTCTGGTATGTGTTTACCACAGTCTTTCTTAAAATAATAATGAAAAGGCCGGACATGGGATGCGCGGTCAGGAAGCAGGCCGGAAAGCCCAGGCTGGACTTGACGTCCATCCACCTGATGCTCGCCACGCGACGCGGGTCCCCAACCTAAATCTCCTCCAGTTTCGGGGAAGCCGAGACGCCTTCCTTGGTGCTGTGTGACCCCCTGTGCTGACGGCGTGACACGGCCTTGGGACCAGCTCCTCGGTCCCACAGGGCCTCGCGGGGCCAGGCCCTAACTGTCTGGTCAAGCGGGTGACGGTGAGTGATGGCTGGCGGCCGCCGCCACGCAGCCCCGCACTTTGCATCCACGGGTCCTCGGTGGCTGTCGTGGAGACGGCTGGTGCTTCTCTTGTTGCAAGGTCTCAAGCACCTTCTTACCAGAAAGCTCTGTCTGCGGTCAATGTCACTTGACCTGGCCCCTGCCTGCACCTCTGTCCCCTGCCAGTGCGGCCACCACCCTCCCTCCACGCTGGCTTGCAGCTGGCGTTCCCTGCGGCCATCTCCGTTCTGCGAATGGTCTCTTCTAACCCCAAAGTACCCCATTGACTATCTCAGGGAAGCTCCTACATGCCTCAGATGAGCTGGCATTTCCTGAATCTTTCAGGAAATGTTAGAAACGAGATCAATTCAAAGCTGAATATTTGCCAGGAGAGTCCACATCCTACCCATTCTAGGAAAACAAATAAATGCATATTTTATTTTTTTAAGATGTGTTTATTTATGCATACAAGAACTTGGGTACAGGCCAGAGGTGCGGGGGTGAGAGGATTCCCCAGAGACAGAGCGGGGAGCAGAACAGGCAGAGCCACTGAAACACACTGCTGCGGGGAGAGGTGGGCGAGACAGGAGAGGTCTGCTGCGCCCTGCGGGTCACTCCCTGGCCGGGGATAGAACTCGTGCTGCAGCGGCTGCAATAGCTTCATAGTGCTGAGACTTAACCCCTTGTGCCACCAGGGAGGCCCTGATATCAGTTTCAAGTGAGCGTCCATAAAACCCCCAAGTGCTTCTGTGATGTTTTGGTAGAAAGCCAGCAACGAAGACAGTTTTCACGGCGTGGATTGCAAAATGACCATAAATTGTCCCAACTTCCCAGAGAGACTGAAAGGAAATTTTGTCGGCAGTGGACAGCTTTTATAGCAGTCCAAGGCTCAATTCAATTATAGACGGTCAGAACCGAGGTTCAGGGAGTAAAAAGCTCACATGAAGGAACGGAGGAAAAGGTCACAGCTCAAGGCCTAGAAACTGCTGCAGACCCACAAGCCAAACCTTTCCCAGAACAGCACAGAAGCTCAGGACTGGGAGGGACTTCGGCCACTGGCCAGCCGCCGTTCACCTCCCATCCGAAGCTGCTTGTCCGTCATGATACAGCGTCCAGTGCAGAAGCAAACCCTGCAGTTCACAGAGAAGGTGTGATCTTGAGCCTGAGCAAGATCAGCGACAGGCAGTCAGGGCTCAAAGATTCCGCTCCTCCCCAAAGTCATCCAGACACCCCGGGTCTTGCTCCCTGTCTGCCCCACGACACTCGACTTTTCACCTCATGACCCAAAGTTGCTGCTCTAGCGCCTGCCATTGCCCCACACTCGCCAGAGTGCTCCCCTCATTTCTATCCATTGGCCAGACCTCACCCTCCTAGTGACAAGGGGAGCCAGGGCCCAGCTAAAACTTCTGTGCTGCACGGGAGCAGAAGCCCCCCGAGTCTGCTCTCAGATTCTGCGGCTCTCCCAGGCCTGCTCTGGGGGACTCTGGCTTGGCTCCGCTGGAGCAAAGTCCCTGCAGTTGCTGCTCATCCGCAGGGTAGCTGGCTCGCCCACACATGCGCATGCTCTGACGGGTGGTGCCAAGCTCCCTCACACACCCTGCATCAGCCTCGCCTTCCTGTGTTTCGGGGTGCAGCCTTTGGGACCCAACCCACTGAGCCCGCCGGTGTGGCGGGGGGCTCTGTCCACCTCTGAGTGCCATCTAGTCTCTGGGAAGCTGCCGTGACCCTGGGACACATAACTGCTGTCTGTCCACCTGCCATCCCATCGGCCTAGGCTGGATCCCTCTCCCTGCAAGGTGAGCAGGAGATTGAAGCAAGTCTGCTTCATCTAACTTGGGGGACGCACTGGGATCCTGCCTTCCTCGGCATCCAACACAGCTCCCTTCTCCTTTAAGCTGGCCGGGCAGGTGGGAACTGCCCCAGGCCCAGGGGCCAGGGGACCACCGAGCAGGGACTTAGCCAGAGGCACAGAGCTGGGCTGGGGCCTTGCCAGAGGCCACGGAGGCCCCCAACCTGTGTCCCAGAAGCCAGGGAATCTAGCCGGCCTGCAGACGCAGGAGAGGGGCTTCCGGCCCCACGGTGGCCGGGCCAGCTGCCCGCAGTTAAACAGAGGAAGAGGAGCGCGGAAGGGAGCTTCGGAGGCAGGAAGAACGGGTAGGAGCCGGCACATTCGGGATTCACACGCAGCGATGATGTCGTTTCCTTTTTGAACAGCTTCTTGGACGATGATAAAATTAACCTCTGAGTGGACGCTGGAGACGTGTCTCGGTGCCTAGGACAGAACCTGGCGTGCGTGTCGGGAGAAGCTGCGTAAATGCGGGGGTCCCGCTGCGGCCAGCTGGGGGCCGGCTGACCACCTGGGCCCCCAGGGCTTCATGGGGCCCCAGAGCAAGCCACCCCCACCGCAAGCAGCGCCCTGGGGAGAGATGGCCACAAGCTACCAAGAAGGTATTTTCCAAGTTTGGCTTTTTTCCTGGGACCACGTCAACAGCCACCATTCCACTTTCCAGAGAAAACACGGGAACAGGAGGCCCTGAGGGCGGGGCTCCCCGGCATCCGTGGGGGTGGGCACATCCCTCACCTTGCGGGCTGTCTCGCCTGCGCCTTCTCG